CCAGCATAACCCCGACCTCTCCCCTGGTGACCACCAGCTCCATATTGTCTACAACCAACACACAAGGAAAGTCCACCGTGTGTGAGCCCCGCTGCACCTGGACGGACTGGTTTGATGAGAGCTACCCCATGCCTGGGCTCTCTGGAGGGGACTTTGAGACCTATGACAACATCCGGGCAGCCGGCAATGCCTTCTGCCAGGTCCCGGTGGACATCCAATGTCGCTCTGAGCTGCAGCCAGACACACCTCTGCGGGAACTGGACCAGGTGGTACAGTGTAACGTCAGCTTTGGGCTGATCTGTAGGAACAGGGAGCAGACTGGCAGGTTCCAAATCTGCCACAATTACCATGTCCGTGTGCTGTGCTGTGATTACACTCAGTGCCCGAGCACCCCAGCCCCCACTAGGCCATTTGGCTTAGAGACCAGCTCCAGCCCCACATCCACACCACCCTTCAGTTCTACAACCCTGCCCTTGTCGTCCATTAGCCCCTCGGCTGCCAGGACAACCGCCACCTCAGTTCCCACCAGGTGCCAGCCTGCCTGCCGCTGGACAGACTGGCTAGACAGCGACCAACCGCAGCCTGGCCGCTATGGGGGTGACATTGAGACCTACTACCACATTATGGATGCGGGCGAGCGGCTGTGTGACAGGCCTGCGGCCATTGAGTGTGAAGCCAAGCTGTACCCAGGGGTGTCGCTGGGGGCTCTAGGCCAGGTGGTCCTGTGTAGTGTCCAGTTTGGGCTCATCTGCCGGAACCACAAGCAAACACAAGCCCAGACCTGCCTCAACTACCATGTGCGTGTATATTGTTGTGATGACTACAGCCATTGTGGGACCACAAAGGGCCCCATGTCCACCCGCGCATCCACTCACACCCCGGAAACTCTCATGTCTACCTCCAAAATATCAACATCTGTCCACACCCCCACCTCCAGCACAGCAGTCCCCACCCCCACCTCCAACACTCTAACACAAGTCCCCCAAACCAGCACCCCCACCTCCAGCAAACCCACGGCTCATGCTCTCAGGTCATCCGGGGTCCCCTCAACTTCGGCCACCACACACACGCCTCACATCTCACCCAGCACTGCTGAAGTGGTCACTATCCAGACATCATCTCAGCCCACGCCCAGATCCCCCACAACCGCAGCCAAGTCACCCTCATCCAGTTTGGCCTCCACACCCGTCCTGACCACCACACCCCTGGTCCCCACCCTGGGCTCCAGGCCCACCTCAGGGAGAACCATCTCCTCTGAATTCCCAACACGAAGTCCTACCGTCACCACCATGGTCACATCGACTGGAACCGTGTGTGAGCCCCGCTGCACCTGGACGGACTGGTTTGATGAGAGCTACCCCGTGCCTGGGCTCTCTGGAGGGGACTTTGAGACCTATGACAACATCCG